AGTTGCATTTCTCCTGTCAGAGCAAATTCCATGGAAGGGGGAATGACAGGCTGTGACAAAATTAGGTAATAAGTAGATACCTTTTGAAACAGTGAACTATGTAACAGAGTATCACATTATTTAAACAGGTTATAGCCAGGCTAAGAGTTGGCCAGGTGAGAATCATTCTTACTTAAAAAGCAAATAGCACCCTCGGAAAGAATCCTGCTATTATCTTTAGTTTTTTAACCTTCATAGATGTACCTACACTCACCTGCAACATTGCTCTCCCTTTGAACAGCTTATACAGAATTTCCCTTTAATTATATAAAACTGGGATGGGGGCTTAGGTGGCTAGGTGGATAGAGGGCTGGGCCTGGAGGTAGGAAGATGAGTGCAAAAGTAGTCTTACATACTAGCTTTGTGACCCAAAGCAAGTAACTTAACCCCTATTTGCCTCAGTTCCTCATGTGTAAAAAAGTGGGAACACAGCAGAGAAAGAAATGGCAAACTTCTCCAATTTGGTTTGGTGAAACTTTACTTGTGAAGATCTTATTTTTTACATACAAATTTTCCCCCCTGATTTTTTTAGTGGTGGAATATTTTTTCCCGTCTTTTTTCTTTTAATATATTACCATTTAAGTTATTTGAGGATAGGTTTTCAAAGTCTTATTTTGAATGTGTAGTTTGGTGTTTTATGTAGTTTAAAAAAGTGAATGGTCTGAGATTTCATAAATGAAACATCGTTTTTCCTATTTGTTATTTAGTTTTTTATTTTAGTTTTTTGTGGTAGTTTTTGTGATGAATTTTCAATGAATAAAATTATGATTAATTTTAATTTTTATGTTTTATATAAAAGTGTTTCAAATGATGTTTCATGTCATTTTATGTCTAGCTAATGAAATATTTTAGATGGGTTTGTATTATAGTGATCAGCATATGTGGTGGTAATGGCTGTATGATTTATTAACGTATATTTTTATTTTACAGTTTTAAGTGAACATGTTTGTCAATGNAGGAGAGTTTTTTGTTAAGAAAGATAAATGAATTACTTTGAATGTAAAGGTGTTCTTATTTTTTCATTTTGGGGAATTTTTCTTGTCTTTTTTAAAAGGCATATGATTAAAAAGAAGTGTGAGTTAAAAGTGCTGAAATGAGTAGTAATTAAATATTCAGGTTGTTTTGAACGGTAGTATGGGAGTAAGGGAGGTAATTTCAAAAGAGGATAAATGTTTTTGTAGGTAGCGAGAAATATTACGTGTAAAGTGGCAGTCTTAAGGTCTGGATAATGAGAGGTAAACAGTTTACCTAAATTCCGTTGACCAAAATAAAGATACTTACTAGGGTTCGTTAGTGAATCCCGGAGTACGGGGTTGTTGGTACCCGTACAGGTGGCAGTAGAGTACATCGAAACAAAAGTAGCACATTTCAGGGGACACTATCATCTTCGGAGCTCCAGGAGAGTCTGATTTACCTCCATCCTCTTGATGTCCTTGGACGGTTTCTTCAACTAAGTTCTGTGGAGTTAGGTTTGTATCTCCTTCAACTTGTTCCCGAAGTCCATTAATTAGTACTCCAGATCCCCCCAAACTCATCTCTTCTGTATGACATTGGATTTCACTGATGCAAGTATCTTCACCTCCAGAATTGTAAGGAGGGGAACTTGATAAGTTCCGCTTCTTAACTCCACAACAGCCAGCCGCCATCTTGAGGATCCATAAGGGTTCATCACGTTGCGTTCGCGCCTGCGTCAATACCAACGCGAGGCTAAACATTGAAAATGTAGTTAGATACTATCAAGTTACACCTAACAAAACAATGTACGCAACAGACAAAATTTTAAAACATCAGTGAAACCTGTTAATCGACTGGTCCTAATTATCACCAAATAAGTATACAAGTAGTCTGGATGCTGCAATGCATGAGAAAATTCAAGGAATAAATATGGATAACATTATTAAAAAGACAGCCCTTGGGCCCAAACGCCTGGGCCTTGCACTGAAAATTTTTATTGGAAAAGTTTCAGGATCAATTCCGTGCCTGTAACAAGCATAAAATTTTCTCAGAAGAAGGGTGGAAAGCAGGGATTCTGGTCAATTACACCAGGATAAGACTTTGTAGGTCCCATAACTCATGACGAATACTACATTTTCAAAAACCATACAATCCAAAACTGCAATAACAAAAACTCAAACTTAACAATANNTTAGAACATTTTCACCCCTTCTATAATCTTACTTATACTAGCTTCAAACTCTCTCTGCTCAATTCTGTCAAACATTAAGTAACTATCGCATTTCCATAATTTGCTCTCAACTCACTCTAAACAAACTACTCTCCCCTGAAAATATGATCCTCTACAAATTCTGAAAGAAATTCTAATCACCTGAAAGCACCCAAACCCACCACTTAATATAAAATTAGCACACAATAACCTTCTTAAAATATGAATTCATTATTTACAAATAATAGCGCTACAATGGAAACAAAACCTTAAATCAGAAAATAAACTTTGCCCTTGCATATACCCTTGTTTCTTTTTGGCTAGGCAGTGGGGTAAAGTGAGTTGCCCAGGGTCACACAGCTACTAAGTGTTATGTGTCTGAGGCCTCATTTGAACTCACGTCTTCCTGACTCCAAGGCCAGCACTCTATCCACTGCATCATCTAGCTGCCCAGCACATAAGCTTCTTGGAAACAATACACAAAATTTAAAGTGCGCAAATACACATATAAAGCAGAAAAACAAGAGAAAAAANCCCCAAATATCTGCTAACACATAGCCCAAATCCAATTCAACATGTACATAATCTTCATGGAATTTGTCATCTCCTCTTTGCCTAGAATCTATACCACAATTAATTTGACAGAAAATTGTTAATCTTACAATTTTACCATGTAACGCAATAAATAACTATGTTTACTATTTACTATTAACATTTTAATGTAAATAATTTTAATTTAATAAATTTAAATTTAATAATTTGATAAGTTTGATTAGAATATTCAGTTACCTTATAATGCATAGGAGACACATAAGATCATATTGTGACTTAATTTCAGGGCGAACTTCAAACAAATCAAATCTGAACTTACAATCACAAATGCTAACATTATAGATCTCAATTTTTCCAAGGGCTACCACAGCCCACTGCTTTCAATTAGCTAACTTTCAAAGACACATTCCCGCAATCTCATTCGCAGGAGCCTTTTGTTGAATCCCGTGAGGCTCTAAATATTGTACATATTTTTCTAATCATTTTTCTTTGCTACTATCTTATGTATTTTGTTCCATGCTTTCTTCTTGTTAAATCATCTTTTTTATTCATATTTTTTAAATTCAACATTTATTTTACATGTCAATTCTATCTTTTTTATCCACTCATTGTTTTTATGTATCCTTCATTCTTTTAAAATTTTAAATTTTTCCTTTTTCGATTAAAATGTGTTAATTTAAATTTGTTCTTATTTATTGTTTAACAATTTTTCCTTTTGCTTCCCTTCATATTTTTAGCCCTTTCCTTCATCTTTTACCAAAAAACCTTCACTGCCTTGTTGCTAACCCTTTCTCTTTCCTAACACGCAGCCTTCATTCCATTTTCTTTGTATCTTTTCTTCTTCCTTATTTTCTTCTCTTTCTATACATGTTTTCCTTTGAAACTTCCTTTCCTCCACTCCATTTTTCTTTCTTCCTTTTCTTATTCTTCCATTTCTCCTCCATTCTTTTTAAAATTGCCTGCATCCTTAATTTTTTATTCCTTCATTTCCTTCCTTATTTTTTCTTCTTTTTATTTTGTTTGTTTCTTTCTTTAGACTGACATCAGTTTTCATTTCCCCCCTTTTCTTTTATTCACCACTTATTTTTTAGGTCTATTCTTTTTATATCATTCATTATTTTTCCTCTAACCATCCTTCTTTTGTTTTATATTTAAATTATTTTTCTTTTCAAAAATTGAATAATTGTTGATTTAAATTGTCTCATTTTGAAAGTACCTTTTCTCTTTTAGTTCTTCCTTCTTTTTTCTTTCTCCCTTCACTTTTCATCTTTCCATCTATCATTTATTTTTTCTACATTTACTTCAATTTTTCTTTTTTTCGTCTTCTTTCCATTTTTTCTTCCTTATTCATTCCTTTCAGTTGTTTCCTTTATTCTTTGTTTTTGCCCTACTTTTTTCTTTTTTGTCACAGCCTGTCATTCCCCCTTCCATGGAATTTGCTCTGACA